AGAAGAAGAAGAAGAAGAAGAAGAAGAAGAAGAAGAAGAAGAAGAAGAAGAAGAAGAAGAAGAAGAAGAAGAAGAAGAAGAAGAAGAAGAAGAAGAAGAAGAAGAAGAAGAAGAAGAAGAAGAAGAAGAAGAAGAAGAAGAAGAAGAAGAAGAAGAAGAAGAAGAAGAAGAAGAAGAAGAAGAAGAATTTTACAGATGAAATTTAGTTATAGAATTTTAATAGCACAGTCTTGAGTTCTACAAGGACTTGCATTGCCAGGCTTCGAGTTGCCAATGTTTTAATTGGACTATTTACTTCATTCTCTAAATTACATTTTACTTCCGTACAAGCAATTGCTCATTGCAGTAACTGTTAGCCTGCTACAGCACAGTACAAAAGTCCAATAACAAATTAAACACTTTATGGAATGTTCACACCACAGAGACCTTATGTCTGTAAAACTATTCTCACTTTGCTCCATAATAATGCTAATTTAGTTATTAAAATATCACATTATTTTATATGATAAGGTGAAAATCTGAAGTATGTACAGTAAACAGTTCCATAAATACCATTCACACCCTATCAGATTGTTATTATTTAGGAGAACAAAGACTTAAAATACTCAATATTTACTATACTCAAAAGTTCCAAGGTAACCAATCTCTCTCTCTTTTTTTAATTAATTCTTCTTCCCTCAACACACATTCTCACCTTAATGGAGTGTCTCTTCAAGACTGTGCTACTTAAATCCCATAACTAAATTTCAACTGCAAACTTTCTCTCCTTCTCACTTTGATGGGTAGAAATTAATCAAGGAAAGAAGCAACCTAGAACTAGGGAGAAATTTCCTGACAGTCAACAATTGGAACAACTTGCCTCCATAAGTTGTGAATGATCCAACAATGGAAGTTTTTAAGAAGAGGTTGGACAACTGTTTGTCCGCAGTGGTATAGAGCCATGATGGCAAATCTAAGGCACATGTGCCACAGGTGGCACGCAGAACCATTTGCACGGGCATGCGAGCCCTAGCCAAACTAACCTTCACTGTACATGCACACACCTCCCAGATGATTTTCAGCCCATTTGAGACTGTTTTTGCCCTCCTGGGGGCTCGAGGGAGGCCTCTGCAGCCTCGGGAGGCCGAAAAATGGGCCTTCTGGAAATACTTGAAGTGCCGAAACAGGCCCGTTTTCCGCTTCCCGAGGCTGCAGAGGCTTCCCTCAAGCCTCTGGGAGGATGAAAACGGCCTCAAACAGGCTGAAAATCAGCTGGGAGGCATGCTCATGTGCAGTGCAGATAAGGGGGCAGGGCAAGAGTATTGCTCGCAGATGCGCAGGGGGGTGGGATGGGGCGCATTGCATTGTGAGTGCTGGCATGTGCGCTATTGTGAATGCATGTGCTTTCGGCACACCACAGCAAAAAGGTTCGCCATGGTCTAGGGTAGTGGTGGCTAATCTTTTTGGGTTCCTGTGCCAAAAACTGTGTGCGCGCTTGCATGCTCACACTCACATGCCAGCACCCAGAAGGCAATGCATGCCCCTCTCATGTCCCCTATGCATGCGTGTGCAATCCACTCACCCACCCACTTCCCCCTGGCCCCTTACCTACACTGCTCCTCACAGCTGATTTTCAGCCAGTTTGAGGCCATTTTCAGCCTCCCAAAGGCTTGAGGAGGCTCCCAAAGGCTTTTGTCACTTCCTGATTTTCCAAAAATACTGGAAGTGAGAAAACGGGGCTAGATTTTGGCCTACAAAGTTTGTAGAAGCCTGCAGAAGCCGTCCTCAAGCCTTTGGGAAGCCGAAAAAGGCCTCAAACCAGCCAAAAATCAGCTGTGAGGCACGCACATGTGCAGTGAGGTAAGTTTGCCTGAAGCTCGCATGCCGGCACAAATGACTCTGCATGCCACCTGTGGCACGTGTGCCATAGGTTCACCGTCATGGATATAGGGTTTCTTCCCTGAGCAGGGGGTTGGACTAGAAGACTTCAAAGATCCCTTCCAACTCCATTATTCAGTTAAGACCAACATGTTTTCTCTGCATAAAACATGAGAAAAATATATACCTGGATATTCTGGATAACAAATAGTGAGAGGACTCCTTTTAATTTTTTCTTCAAAGAGATCCTTTTTGTTTAGGAACAGGATGATAGAGGTGTCGGTAAACCACTTGTTGTTGCAAATGCTATCAAACAATTTCATGCTTTCATGCATCCTATTCTGCAAATCGGGGGGAAAAAGAGAGAGAATATTTCAGTTTTCTTTCCTCACTTCTCTGCATAATAATATCCAGATCAATTCACGAATACTCCCCATGAAAGAAATCAAGAAAACAGAACTCAATGTACCTGAAGAACAAGGACCAAAGTCTGGGACATTTCTTACTGCAGACAATTATTTGAATTTATTCAAATCAATGATTCAGATCAATATAAGACCATCTTAAAATAGTTCAGCAATCAACAATAAGGTATTTTTTGTAATATTTTACAATGTATTTATCATGATTATTTCTAAGAGTTATTTTTTGTAGGCAAGCTAGATAGAAAACTATCATAACCATTCTCTCACCGCTAAATGGGTGAAATGTGATTAAATTAGAGATAGTCCTTGACATTCAACCACAGTTGGGCCCAAAATTTCTGTTGCTAAGCAAGACAGTTGTTAAGTGAATTTTGCACCATTTTACAACCTTTTTTCCCACAGTTGCTAAGTGAATCAGTGCAATTGTTAAGTTAGTAACATGTTTGTTTAGTGAATCTGGTTTCCCTATTGACTTATTTTTATTTATTTGATCTGTCAATCACTTACAAGATAATAGGTATAAGTATATACATAGTTATGAATACATGAAATGGGTAAATATAAAAAAATAAAAGAAACAATAGGACAGGGACGGTAGGCACGTTGGTGCGCTTATGCACGTCCCCTACAGACCTCTTAGGAAAGGAGTGAGGTCAATAGTAGACAGTCTAAGGTTAAAGTTTTTGGGGTTTGGGGAAGAAACCACAGAGTCAGGTAGAGTATTCCAGACACTGACTACTCTGTTGATGAAGTCATATTTCCTGCAATCAAGTTTGGTGCAGTTAACCTTGAGTTTGTATCTATTGTGTGCTCTTGTGTTGTTATGATTGAAGCTGAAGTATTCATTGACAGGTAAGTCATTGCAATGTATGATTTTATATACCATACTAAGATCAGACTGAAGACGGCATAATTCAAGGTTTTCTAGGTCTAGAATTTCAAGTCTGGTAGCATAAGGTATTCTACAACGAGTAGAGGAGTGGAGAACTTGTCTTGTGAAATATTTCTGGACTTTCTCAACTATGCTAATATCAGATACGTAATGTGGGTTCCAGAATGATGAGCTGTATTTGAGTATTGGTCTAGCAAATGTTTTGTACGCTCTTGTTAGTAGTGTGATGTTACGAGAGAAAAAGCTATGTAAGATTAGGTTAACAACTCTTAATGCCTTTTTGGCTATGTAGTTACAGTGGGCTCTAGCACTTAGATCATTAGAGATGAGTACTCCGAGATCCTTGACAGAGTTTGGATCATCAACAAGGTCTTGACTATTCAGCTTGTATTTTATTTTCTGATTTTTTTTTTTTTTTTTGCCAGTATGTAAGACAGAGCATTTATTTGTTGAGATTTGAAGTTGCCATTTGTTTGACCATTCTGATACATAGTCAAGGTCTTTTTGAAGGGTTGCAGTATTGTCTGTGTCTGTTAAATAGCTTTACATCATCAGCGAAGAGAACGCAGTTGCTCTTGATATGATCACAGAGGTCATTTATGTAGAGTATGAAGAGAGTTGGTCCTAGAACACTGCCTTGGGGGACACCACTATTAACAGGTACAGAATTTGATAGGACGCTCCCAATTTTGACCATTTGTTGTCTGCTTGACAGGAATGCTTCTATCCAGTTATGCAGTTGTCCAGAGATACCATAGGATTTTACTACTAGTTTGTCGTGTACCACTGAATCAAAGGCTTTACAGAAGTCTATGTAGATTGCATCTATTGTTTTGCCCTGATCGAGTTGTGTAGTCCATATGTTTTTGCAGTGTAAGAGTTGTAGATTACAGGACAGTTTTTTCCTGAAACCAAATTGTTTATTGGAGAGTAGGTTGTTTGTCTCTAAGTGGAGGATAATGGATTGGTTAATAATTGATTCCATGTCTTTACAGGTGACGCAGCATAAGGAGATTGGTCTGTAATTTTCAACTAGGCTGGGGTCTCCCTTTTTGAAGATGGGGATGACCATGGCTTGTGACCATAGGTTAGGCAAGGAGCTGGTCCTGAAAGATTTTTCAAAGATTATGCTTAGAGGTTCGGCTATGGCAGTAGATAGCTTTTTAAAGAAGTAGGCACATATTCCGTCCGGTCCAATAGATAGAGATGGTTTTAGATTGCGTAGTGCTTTTTCAACATTGTCTTCTGTAAAATCGATATGTATTAGATCATTGTAGTTTTCTGTGGTTCGGCTAGGAAATACTGGGCATGATCCAATGCTGTTTACAAACTTTGCTTGTCAGAAGATCGCAAAATGGGATCACATCTTTCTTTTTTCTTTCTTTCTTTCTTTTCCTCCTTCCTCCCTCCCTCCTCCTCCTCCTTTTCTTTCTTTCTCTCTCTCTCTTTTTTTCTTTCTGTCTCCCTCCCTCCCTCCTCTTCTCTTTCTTTCTCTCTTTTTTCTTTCTATCTCCCTTCCTTCCTTCCTCCCTCCCTCGCTCTTCTTTCTTTCTTTCTTTCTTTATTTATTTATTTATGTATTTATTTATTTATTTATTTATTGTTTACTTACCATTTCTTCATCTTCTGCAAGGACCAAGTCATAATCACTAAGTGCCACACAAAAAATTATAGCGGTAACCCCCTCAAAGCAGTGAATCCATTTCTTCCTTTCTGATCTTTGGCCTCCGACATCAAACATCCTGCAAAACAAGAGCCAAAAAACAAAAATCCAATCAGCTGACTTTAAGATGGAATTCTACCCAGACTAAAATGAATTAGAACACCTATAATTGAAAAGAAAGACTATAAAGTCAAGTGAATGGAAAAGAGTTTCCAAATATTTTCTGCATTCAAAAGCAAAATTAATTTCACATTACATGTGACATATCTCTACATTCATTAGAAGATATCACCATTTTTCATTTTGGTTTTACAGGTTAGATCACAAATTGTGAAAGGTGTTCCTTTCTGGAGCTGCTATTTCCCAGGGTCTTCCAGTTCTGTTTTTTAGTTTTATATTTTGTTGTCCATCTTCTAAGTTAAAATGAATGAATGAATGAATGAATGAATGAATCAATCAATCAATCAATCAATCAATCAATCAGTCAGTCAATCAATCAATCAATCAATCAATCAATGCTTGCCAGCTTAAAAATATTATGAAATACTCTGTGCTGGACAGAAATATAGTCTTTTCTCACATTTTATGTGAAGAAAATATTTACATAACACACTGAACACCCAATATCATATTTTTAAGGCCGTTTACTTACTTAAAATGGAGATCTTTGAAAGTAAAATGAGTTTCCACTATTCCTGTTGTTTTCACTCTGGTCCTGAGGACATCTTGCTGTGTTGGGATATAACCGGTGTGGGCTATTCTGTCCAAATCATTCAAATAGCTAGAAAGACAGAATAAATATCAAAGGTCTTTCAATCTTAAACAGAACTGTAACGTATTATAAAGATTAGCTTCACCAAAAGATTCTTTTCACTGCTTTAAAGTCGCGGGCAGCTTCCAAGAATTGTGGTCCTTGTTGTACGGATGACAGCAGAGGTGGTATTCAGCAGGTTCTGACCAGTTCTGGAGAACCAGTAGCTGAAATTCTGAGTAGTTCGGAGAACCAGCCAATACCACCTCTGACTGGCCCCGCCCCCATCTATTCTCTGCCTCCCATTGAGTCCCAGCTGATCGGCTGGGTTTCCTTTGGTTGCCCTGCACAGAAGAATGGACCTGGAAAGCAGGTTAGTGGGTGGGTAGGGAATGGGATTTTGCAGTAACCTTCCCCTGCCACACCCACCAAACCAGGCCCAGCAAGCCATGCCTACAGAACCGGTAGTAAACATTTTTGAATCCCACTACTGGACGACAGATGCAGCTTCTGAAAACTATTCAGAAGATGGCTACAAAGTGAAGTATGAAGATTGAATTCTTACACTATGCTATGCAATAGCAATTATTAGCCAAAGGGCAAATGCCAAGTGGCCTTGATGAAGTGATTAACTTCATAAATGAATGGTACAACATAGGAGAACAAACCCATCAGGACTAGGTTCAACAGCTCATCTGCATTTAAAAAACAAAGGCCATTGTTTTGAAGACAACAAAGTCCACATTTTGGACAGAGAGGACTGCTGGCCTTGATGATTCTTCTCCCCAAAGTATGACTACCAAAACTATCTCCCTGATTGGCAAGTCCTTGAAGTAGCAATTGTGTGACCAACCTACCCAGAAATAATCAATAGGTATGTTATTTAAAATGGGAAAAAATGGAAGATTTGTTCAGAAACCTCTACTCTAATGTGAAATATTAATGCTTGAAATCGTGTAATTCCGGTTGTGTTCAACAGGACTTACTTCCAGGTCAATGTTTATCAAAAATCTAATTTGATGAGACATATCAAGATGATATAGATATGGCTAGAGTACAATTTGGGATGAACACTGTTGGAATGGTGTGGGAGTAGAATGGATTTCCAGAAGGAACCAGGAGCCCTACTCAGGTGACCCTGAGGACACAGATAAGCCTCCAGGTGGCCTCAACGACTCTCTAAAAGGATGCAAATGACCAGCTGTCTGCAAGGAGTATCAATCCTTCCCTTCCCACCACCCAGTCAGAGTTGAAGAAGCTTCTGGGATGAGAAGCAAAATGTCTTCAAAAGAAAAATCAAGAAAGTCCAGTTGCCTCCTGTAAAAGCACCTTTGGGACAATAATCATGACCTGGATGACTGAGAATCTCTACAGACTTTTATCTACATAGTTCAGTGCAAATTTACCTTGGTTGAAGTGCTTTGGCTGTTCTCATTTTGCAAAAATCAGAGCTCTTATTTCTTGCCTCAGAACATTTGCATCAGATGGCGTAATTCTTTTTTGGATACTTACTATGCGGCTGAGTCATTAAGCTGATATTCTCTCGATCGGTTGAAACATCGGTTGACTCCAGGATCTTTCCACAATCTTTTGATCACCCCAGCAAGTTCTCCCGTCATAAAACCTTCTTCAGTTGCTCCAGCAAGGACAAAGAGTAGGCGTGCATCGTCCTATCATAAAATAAGAATACAATCCTGAAGAACTCAAAACACCATCATTCATTTTGTGCCCATAAGAGATCAAAGTCCAGCCCACCTTGAATTCCATGGATTCTTATCTCCCGCCAATTTGCTTTGACCGTTAGTAGTTCAGATTCATGTACCAGTAGAGAGTATTGGCATACAATAAACTGTATTCATTTGAACTGCCTGGACTCCTGATTTCCTGTGCTTTAATCAGTACAACAGGGTGGAGTTTCTGTCTTTCTTCCTAACTTTCTCAATATAACTTCCTGGATCATTTATTTTTTGTCTGTTTGTTTATCATTCTTAGGGGCTGTTTATTTAGAGGCTAAAACCTTCTAAATAAAGAATTAATTTATTTTGCTTGTTAATTATTCAAATTGCAGCCGGTCTCTCTGATCCCATAGAGTAATAAGGGCCCTTATCTTTCTTTTACTTCCCATTTAATATTGGTAAATAAAAAAATTATTCCAATCCAGAACCAGATTCAGACCTGAAATGATCTACCGTGTTTCTCATATAATAAGGCCGGGTCTTATTTTTTTTTGAGCCCCCCCAAAATGGCTAGGCCGTCTTTTTGGGGGTGACTTAATTCCCCCCCCCTTGCATCTTCGGGTGGGCAGCGATGGCTTGGATGTTGACCTTGGCGTTGGTGGGGCACTTTGTATTGGGGTCAACGCAGGCAGCACCATATCCGGGTGTGCAACAAAAATACTTCCTAATGGCAAGCCCCCCCACCATTCCCCCCATTTCGCATGTTTTAATATAGGCCTTAATTTGGGGGGAGGGGCTTAATTTCATTTCATGCCTGTAAAACATGCTGCGACTTCCTATTGGGGGAGGCCATATTGTTGGAGAAACAGGGTAAGATTTGTTGTAAAATGGGAAACATGAAAAGTACTCATGTTTTAAAACAGCAAATACCCAACATAAGCTACTTTCTAGTCCCAGGAGATACTTAATCTTTTAAAAATATTGTTATTTGAATTTCAGCTGTTGTTTTCTCTCTGTGCTTAAGAAATGCAGGTCTTTTCCCAGAACTTTCTCAGAAATTGACTAGGAAAAGCTATTTTTTATCCCATACTAAGATTTACCCCATTTGAAATGAATTGTATTACATTCATTCATTTAATGTACACTGAGAATTTATGCACCGAAAACAAATTCCTTGTGTGTCCAATCACACTTGGTCTATTCTATTCTATTCTATTCTATTCTATTCTATTCTATTCTATTCTATTC